CTAGGTAATCGTAAATATAAAATTAAAAAAAAAACGTGACGCGGCCTCGTTTCAATTAGTTTCAACGTAAAACAAAGTCGCACCAAGGGGTCACCAGTCACCAGTCGAATCAAATGGACAAATGGACACTGGGCAGCTGATGCGCGCGTTACGGAAGCTGTAATAATTACGGCCCGAGCTTCACCTCGACTCTAACAATACAAAAGTATTATTTAACAATTCAACAAAAACTGTGCACATTATGACGTCAGTTTATAAATAATATTAATATGAATCAAGGAAAAATTCATTAAAAACTTCAATTATTTATAGCTCAGAAGTGGGTTTTTAATAGGATTAGGGCAAACTAGCAGGCGGATGGTAAGTATAAGTAGGGATTCCAACTTTTTCAACTGACTTTAAAAAAAAGGAGGAGGTTCTCAATTCGACTGTAATTATGTTTTATTTTATGTTTCTTACTCGAAGACGCCTGGACCGATTTTATTTTTTTTTTGTTTGGAAGGGTAGGCTTGTCATTTGGTCCCATTGTCATGAAGTCGGGATCTGATGATGAAATTCCAGGTGAATCGAGGGGAATTTTTAAAAATTATAGGGGCGACTAGAGCATTTGGAATGTTTTTCGTTAAGTATTTAAAACCACTACAATCTGATAATGGTCTGGAGCTGATCTGATGATGGAGCCGACAACCGGCTGCCGTACAACGTGTCGCGGGTTCGATTCCCGCACGGAACAACAAATGACAATGACCAAATTTGTATGGAGCGTGGTGCCTTTTCATTTTTTCGCGGCAGTTGATCGAATGTGGAAAAACTGATGCAGCATTACAAACAAAAAAATATATGGGGCCCTATATCAAAAACACAGTCCAAACCGAGTTAAATCAGTTCAAAAGATGTGAAAATAGTGGTATATTATCCCTGTGATTTTGTTGATGGTGACCGTACACAACGCATATTTCTTCATTTACTTGTCAGAAATATTTTGTAATAAATGTTTATAAACGATTTCAAGGAATATAATAAAGCTTATTGTGGACTTTTTTACTTATTTTTTTTTTGTATTTTTTTTTTTCTGATAAGGCCACTGAATCAGGTCAGAGTGAACCATTACTTAACTGACCACTGCTGAAGAAAAAGAAACATTTCGCTTGATTGGCTAGCGTGTTCAATTTATATGTATATGGTTTATGGCCTATGACAGATTTTCACGATCAATTTCCTCTCAGTCAAAAACCCGCAAAATACTTTACTGAGCCCTATCATGAAATGCTATGTTTGTCAGCTGCGGCGTTGGTAGCGGATTGAATAGCGCTGATAACTTTAAAAGTCGACGGTTTTCTTTCTTCAAAAGATTATGCTAACTATTAAGTAGATGAGTGTACCACCAGGAGTCAATGGCAAAAAAAAAATTACTTTATTAGATGTTTGGACGGCTACCACTACTCAACCCACCACTGGTACCACAGCTGACGCTCATGAAGCTTCATGACACAACTCCTAGAAGCATCCCACAAGTTATCGACTGAGAGAAAATAGGTAATAAAAATTAGTGCCTGGCAATATGAATATATTAGGGTGTGATATGGTTGTCCTGTGCCCGAAGTACAGTGGCGCGCAATTTGAAGTTAGAAATTGTGACAAAAATATGAATAATTTGAATATAAAACCGAAGTAAAATGTTTGATTCCAGCTCCTTTCAACGCTCATAACTCAGTCCAGACTGAGATTTCCATATATATAAGCCCATAGACAATTTCGTTTGTAATGTCATTCTAGATAATATTTTCCATAAATCATCGACTGCCGCAAGAAAAAAGAAAGGCACCAATTTTAATCAATGCCCTTTGTGTGATCCACAAATTGTTGTTTTTCTTTCTATTCGGTGCTTACTTTTCATAACAGCGTGGTATTGTGTTAAAAAAATAAATTTCGGGTTAGTTGTATAAAAAAGAATACTATCAAATTTCGCTGAACCGAAGTATTTTTAAATGATTACTTATATATTTACATTCAATAGTAGATTATTATTTTGAATATGGGTTTTTATTTTTAAGAGTATTTTAGCATACTCTATTACTGTTGTAGATTGTAGAGTACGCCTACATGATATAAAGGACAATACTATATTTTAGAGTACGATTCGCAACCCTAATGGTAAGTGAACAGCGCCACCTGTAGATACGGGGGTACACTAGAGGAGTAACAAGTTCGTTGCCATGTTTTTATAATAAGTATCGTGAGACATACTAAATTAAGTAAAATCGCGGGTTACTCACGTGAATATACTGAGAAAAGAGTGACCTGCGCGGCGTCACAGCGACCGCGCACGCTGCTCATGAGGAAGAACCCCTCTGTGGTTCAAAACTAGTAGAGCTTTTCTCAATATATTCACGTGAGTAACCCGCGATTTTACTTAACTAAGTTCGTTGCCGGTCTTAACGGCCTAGTTACGGTACGGCGTAGACTGTAGATAGAGCAGGTATAGATAGCTTTATGCAACTTGAATGTACGTGTTCTCTCACAGGGTACCACCGTCAAGTGATGACGTAATGTTACTGCGTGCATTCTGCAAACTGAGGTTCTAGTTCTGAATACTCAAATACCCTTTAGTTTAATGATGCACTGTTTTATTGCACCATAATGTTGGGAACAGTGCCGCACATGGTCCGCGTGCCACCAGGTGAGCCTCAAGCATTGCATCCACCGCCGGAGGCGTGGTCATCAACACTCGTGTAACCATGTGTACGTTCACGTGACGCCGGCGCCGGGGACAACACCGGCGGTGTTTGTATAGGCGACGAGTTTGCTTAGTACACGCGTCTATGCGTCACGATACTGAGAAATATATTATTTTATTGTGCCACAATGTCCACTGATACGTATGATAGCTTCGATGATACATTCTTAGTGTTTCCACTATTGATAAGTTTGCTGATTCGTGACTAACTAACTAGCAGTAAGTGCCATGTGCTAACTAACCGTTCGCTTTGTGCAAAGCTTTCTATGGAGTGGCGCCGCCCGGCTGGAGCGCGCAAGGTGCGTACCTCACACTACGCTAACTGCATGTAGTGTCGGCTTGTGTCCTTGTGTCGTGTCCCTGCGAGCGTGGATCAGGTCGTTTCTGTATCTCTGACAACTCGAACCGTGTGTGCGGTTCTAAAGCACTTCTATTGGTTTTGTTCAATCATATCGCATGAAAACGTACTAAAGATGAAACTCGACGTCAAACAATGGGACGTGGAATGTTGTTGACGGACAGAAGTGAATCTTCCTGTCGTCGTTGGGAATTCAATGAGTTACCAATTTTGGTCATTATTATAGTTCTGTATTTGAATGATTTATGCCGGCTCGGTCCGTGCAGTGTAAGGAAAACAACACAAAATAACACAACGCATGATAATGCATATCACTTCCTTTTTGTTTTCCGCAAGGATTAGATATCGCATGTTCACATTAATAGCAGCGTACACTAACCAGGACCACGGTGTCCGTAGACCGTCCAGCCTTTGTGATGTCACTTTGGCAAAGAACTACATACTCAACGGTTTTTCATTCTTTGCTTCTATGTTCTGTTCGATTTGACTCCACGCTTTCCAGGGACGTCGTATTACCATTTTGGAACATTAAGTAGTTGTATTAATCATTAGAGACTCGAACTGAGAGTTTGATCCGTAATCGTTAAGCTTTGTTCCTAATTGATATATCGCAGTGGTAGGTATTAAGTTAAGTGTTCCACTAGTCGCGCTAGCTTCGCTTCGTATGACAGGTTCAGCTTCTCAGCTCATTCATAGTTTTGATAACCTATCTGTCGGTAGATTTGGCTGCTGGGGAGAACTTCAAATATTGTGTCTAAACATAAAAATAAGGTCTGCAAAACAAATGTACCCACAGATAGTTTGTACAAATTGCATCATATTTTGAAGGTGCCGCCATTCTGCCAGTGTGCGTACATTATGTGTCGGTGAGGGTAGAGTGGTGCCGCAGTACAGTCCCCGACACGAACCGTGGCCACATTTCTCGTGTTGTGTACTGCCACGTTATTTCCATTGCCATTATTAACATCGTACTTTGAATTTGTGTTGGAAGTTAAATCGAGAAATGTACACAATGCGCGAACTGACTCCCACCACGGTCGGTGCCGGGTGTAACATAGTATGTGGTAACGTGTAACGTGTAACGCGTTGTGTTGCAGCATGTCCGCCGTCGTACGAGCAAGTGATGGCGGACCACAAGCAGCCCCCCTACAACCCCCACGCGCCGCACTAGGACCCCCCCACTACAACACTACCAACCAAACATTGTTTACATAATCTATTCATTACTATAATTATCTGTAAGAATAATGTCCTCGACTGAGATGAGATTTATATAAAATATAAATGTTAGCGAAGTGTACAATACGAGATGTTTAGTTATAAGTATACAATGCAATTCTCGACAATTTCACTGTAATATAATATTTGCTACAGGCCGGTAGGGGGCGCCCGGTACAAGTACAAACTGCGCAGATCTGTATGATATTTTTAAATTGAATACAATAGTTTTGATTACACTAATGGCGTATTATCATAATGTTTGTACCGGAGTCGCAGCGCGCAGTATCAGCAAGATAACAGCGCGTTATCAGTGCGCGCTCAGTACGTGTGTCACCAGTACTTATTACTTACTATCGCGTCGCGCCGCAACTTGCAACACGTGGCGCGCTGCAACATGCAACGCGCCACGTGTCGCCCCCGCCGCGCAGTACATTGGTTGTTCTCCAAGTGCTCAGTTTTGATTAGACCTACACACTCGCGCACACCGCGCTACGTGTAGCGTGCAACGTGTGGCGCGCAACGTGTGGCGCGCAACGTGTGGCAACGTACTTAACTAGTGAATGAGTCGTTTGTAGTAGCTACAGTAAGAGTAATGTTGTACGGTGACGTCACTTTATGAAGTACATAGATAGACATTAATATACCGCGTCGTCGAGCGGCGCGGCCGAGCGGCCAGCGGCCAGCGGCCATGTGATATGTGGGAGCAGTACAGACTAGGCTACATAGTGCGGAGTACAATGTCTGTGTAATATGTTCTCTTCCCTGATAACTATTGTTTACCTTAGATTGTAACGTTTCTCTTATTTCCCAAATATAGGTACATTGAGCTTTATCTTGTAAAGTTTAAGGTGCATTTTGTTATGAATAAGATATTTTGAATTTAGTTATGTAAGTGGTCACTAAGTGTATTATAATTTTCTTACAAAATATAATAAATATATTGCGCAACGCATGTCAGCGTACAGAATGAGTTTCATTTGAATGTCCTTTATTTTTTGTATGTATGGAAAATCATGAAGTGGCTCCTCCCGCCCTGGGTAAGTAAATACCACCCCGTCTTCTCTGCTTCGAGCCGAGCCTCGGTGCCTATTGGTGATATTCTCGGGAGCGTAGTAGCGGGTCCCGTCTGTACCTAGTGAAAGAAGTGAAATTCAGAATCTACAGCTGTATTGACCGACCGTCGTAAATTAAATACGTATGTACTTCGAAACTACAGAACGCTTCCTACTACGAGACTTGCTCCTAGTCATACAGGATTGTAGGCGTCCCCAGGCTCAGCAGACAGGCGCAGCGCTAGTCCCTCCACACGATAGTTGATAGGGTGTATTGAATATATTTTAATGTGACGAGCCTGCCACGATCTCCCAAAATAGCTACAACTCCTTTAAACCATGGATCTACAGTAGTACAACACCGAAACACTGAAGTTACGCGCGTCCCTCGTCCCAAGAGCCGGGAACATGGACAAATGTCCTGGGTCCTGCAACGAAATAAAATAAAGTTATCATTGAAGGAGAATAACACGATTATCTGCTATTAGTACATGTTGGGAGTATTTACTGCTAGAGTGGTAGGTATGGGACAGTGTAACGTGGCGGCGGCGGGCACTTGTTGCGCATGCGCGGGCGCGGCGCCGCGCTGTCGCCGCTCGCTGCAGGGCTGCCACGACTCGTCCCCTCACTGACTACTGACAGTTACTGTTTGTTCCACAACCGGCAGGTTACGGTTTAACATTGGTGGGGGCGCTCACGTCCATCTTGCTATTTCGTTTACAAATGGTAGAAACATACAGAGATGCAATGGGAGCCTATTGTCAAATACATACAGGGTCTAATAATTTCAGGCTTTGGTTTAATAACCAAATTTGGTTTAAAAACCGAAATAAACTCAACAATACTTAGCCCGACCCGGGAGTTGAGAACCTAAGCCCCCTTGTTTGGTATTCACACATGCGAAAGCGACCACTAGATCAACAAGGCTGTACCTTTTTACTGCTACTGACTAAATGTACAGACTTAAAATATTGTTACTGCTCAGTTGGAGCAGTGCCACTGTCTGCTGTGAGGCGTTTCGTAGGTTCAATTCCTGCACTTCAATAATATTAGCACGAACTTACTAATTGTTGTTCGAGGTAGTTCAAGACTTCAGTTGACATTTGTAAGCACCCAACATTCAATGGCGTAGGCTGTAAGGCTGTAATATGTAGGTTTTGTAAATAAATCGCCTACTCACAAAACTGTGTGTTTCGTGAACCCACGGGCCACGGGCCACGGGGAGTTCACGAAATGAAACACAATGTCAAAAGACAAAAGACATCATCATCATCATCAACATTAATGCCCACTGCTGAGCAAAGCCTCTTCTCACACGGAGAAGGTTTGAGCATTAATCACCACGCTTGCTCATTGCGGGTTGGCGATATCAAACTTATAATTAGAAATTATAAGCCCATGTTTCCTCACGATATTTTCCTTCACCGTTTGTCAAAAGTGTCTAGATAATCTTAGAAAGTACATATAAGTCACATTGGTACTTGCCGTTGGCAGGTTTCGAACCCGCACCCTTAAGTCTTAAACCTCCGGGCCACCGAACGGGCAGACCACAAACCGGCAGATAGGTACACCAGTCAATTATTTATGTGAAAGAAAGACCATCGAAGGTTCCCCTGTAAGTATAATACTAAACGTCCACGCAATGCAGGCGCGAACGATGGTCGTGAGCGACAGCCCTGCTCGCGGAGGCTGCGGCGCCAGAGTGTCGCGAGCACTTGTTGCGACGTCGCGCCGACATCTGCGGCGCCGCGCGACGTGTTCCAGCACCAACACACAGACACACGGCGACACATACTCCCCGTAGACACAGCGACACGGTGTCGCTGGGTCGAGGCGGCGCGCCCGTGCGGCCGACTGTCAGTGTCTCCGTGCTCGTCCACTGCGAGGGAGTAGTGGCCGCCGCGCCGCGAGAGCTGTGGGTGTCGGACAACATGTGAGCACTGCACGCCGGGTACCAGGCGCCCAGCTCGCCGCGAGCAAGCACCAGCTGGACAGGTGAGTCGGGGACCCCAGCACACCCCACTGCCACCGTGTCGGGGCGCAACATTGTGCTACTTCACATCACTTGTATGAATGTTGATTAACTTTCCAATAGATAAATCACAAGGTCAACGGTTTCTCCGTGTTACTCACCGACTGTGCGTCATCCGAGAGAAATAATTATTATAATAATAATGATGTGATCTAACGATGCTATACTAGTCTACAGACATGGATGATTAGTGGGCACTGGGCGTGTTGTAATTAGATTATGTTACTATTGCATACAGGTACTGGATAAATCGCACTCAGTAATCGCTAATCCATGCGATCTCGCACGACGCGACCGCAACGGATCTCTGTTCTCCGTGCCGGCTGCCGTAACCTGCCGTTGTAGGGCTACAACGCCGTCCGCGTAGCAGCCGTGGGAAGCGTAGCAAATATATGTAGCACGTGCTACGCTGGCGTAGCTGTTGGTTTAGTCAAGTGGTATTTTAGTGAACGTTGTTTGTGTTGCAGTGGTTGAGTACAGAGGGGCCCCGGGATGGGAGTCCCGGGTGCGGGCGGTGCGGGCCCCAACGGCGCGCGGCGGCCCAGTCACGTGGCGTACTACGTGGCGCTCGTCGGCATCCTGTCGCTGCTCATCATGCTGTGTCTTTACTTCTTCTACTACTTCATCAAGAAGGTCAAAGGTGTGCAACCGCCGTACTCACTTCACAACATGTGTCGCAATGCTGCGGTCGTGTCAATGTGTGTGTGTGTGTTCGCAGAGCTGAGTGCGTCGGACAGCGCGTCGCTGCCGACGACGTCGTGCCGGCCGCCGGCCGCCAGCGCGTACCCCGTGGCGCCAGGTGACACTCGAGCGTTGTTGTTGTATTGTGTCGCTGTGGTGGTACGTGACGCGGCGCGTGTGTTGCAGTGGTGCGGGACGGCGCGAGTGCGATGGCGCAGCCGGCGCCGGAGCCGCGAGCTGACAAGACGCCGGCGGCCGCGCTGCCGGTAGTGGCGGCCCCCGAGGTGGCGGCGCAGTAGTGCACCATGATGTATGCCAGAGACTGCTGGGACACGGGACCAGTCACTCGTCTACCTCACGAACATATATTTTGTACCGCGCTGTTAGTGTATCAAGTTATCTAAATATTGCCCGCGGTTTGATGTGGCTCGTCAACTTGTGCCGTGTAGCTCTTGTACTTTTCTATGTATTTATATGTAGTATAGGTTAGTTGTATGGTAACGGAGTATATTGTTGCTCAATGGCTCGCGCCGTCCACTGCCCGCTGTGACATGTTGTTGGAGTTGTATAATTAATGTCTTATATTGTAAAGCTTTGTATAATGTGAATGTTGTACTGAGTATACTTCCAGTACTCGACGATGCTAATGAACAATTGATTATTGTAACATTTGTGACGTGTCTATATATCGAAGCATGGCTCGCGTGTACTGCGGATGTACGCGTAGTGAGCGTTTCTCTATGATATCACAATTTTGTACAAAAAAATAATATTGCTAGAAAATTGTATTACCTACTCGTAATTTAGTTTTAATTTTACAAAAAATAAATAATATGGTCGTGTTTGAAATGTTCCAAGGAGACGCTATATGTATATCTACTAAACATGTATGTACTGTATGTACTGCGACTGTCGGTGTGTTTGTATCGCTTCGGGTTCGAGCTTGGTGTCTGTATCACTTTGTACCAATAAATATCTACATTCTACTGCAGCGGCTTCCATGGCTTGCCACCGTTTCCAACGAGTTGTATTCCCCCACAGACCCACGCGCTACCTCGCCGTCGACCCGTACAGAACCCACTAGACCGCTGTACCAACCACGTACTCATCGCGCCTTCTTGTTTACATTTGTTCGAAGAAACCTGAGTTACCTGAGTTAGTGTAGAGATATTCTGACTGCCTCGTTGTCCGTACGGTCGCATGTGCGACTGCCGGGCAAGGGGCCTCGGGTTCGATCCTCAAGTCAGCCAAAGTATTACTGGGTTTTAAAAAAATCTCAGTAGTAGCACGGAGTCTGGAAATGTCTCCTGTATATGGCAATAGACTCAGCCCCTATTACATGGGACTCGTAGCATAAATAGTGAAAAGTGGGTGTAACATACTACAGTGGCATTAAGTGCCGTAATGTGCAACTCTGCCTACCCCTTCGGAGATAAAAGGCGTGATGTTATGTTATATTATAGAGATATTCCTGTCAGTGCTAATATACATAGAACGGGGCCTACCGTGGTTTGCTCACCAGTTGGCACGATGGCACAAGATGTTATGTCAAACGAAAGCGAACACCAAGTTCCCGCTCTCTGTCCCTTTCATTGCGGACGGATCACCTGGTGGCTGACGGTGAACTATCAACCGAACCAAATAAATGAATTTCTTTCTTTGACTTAAATAAATAAATAAATGAATTTTAAATTGAATAAATGATAACTGCAGAGCGACAATACGTTGCGAACACTTTAGCCTACCGTAGTTTTGCTCACTAGTTGGTGCTTGTGTGAATCTCTCGTGATCGAATCAATGGAAGATCGAACCTCCGGTTAGTTCATTTACACAACGCAAGCATTGTTCCCCGCACGGTTTCTGTGAGGCCGTGGTTCTCCGACTGAGCCATTCCAACCCATTGGTGCCGAAATATGGCTCTCGCATGATACATGTACTGAGTTACAGCAGCACTTATTGAAGCTACGGTCGGCGCAGGCAATGAAACAACAGACTCGGTAACACACACTTTATTAACGTCACGGAGCAGCCCAAGCAGCAGTGCATACAGTGAGTACGAGCTGCTGCGCGCGCTGCACAAACAAATAAGCACCTTACGCTAATATTGACAGAGACTATGTTCCGCTGACACAGGTAATTGACACTAACTAACTGAGGTGTATAATTCTTATAATTACTCTCACTACGCGTCATTTTATTACAAAATATTATCTTTGTATTTAACTTTGAACTCTGCGGTGCGAGCTTACAGTCGAGTACTGTAGCGGAGTGTAGCGCGCCAGTACTCGGCCTGAGAGCTGCTGGTGTCAATAACAATAAATATTTACATTATATTAACCCCACTTGTAGGATAACAGGGACTGGCCTGTAGTCGCGGGCCGCCGGGCAGAGGATGCTCGGCTCCGTGGCAAGCAACAAGTAGCTTACAATTAGAAATGTCGTCTGCAACACGAACGAGTACATTATACTTAGATTATACATTAGCGAATGTGATCAACGTCCGCACGACACGGACATACGTAGGCCACGTGATGTTGCTTAGTACGTGACAAACAGTACAATACGAACTCTACTGAGTTCCTTCGAGACTCGAGGCTTTGAGAGCAGCTAAAGGCTGTGACTTTCAGTTCACAAGATCCAGGTGAACTCAATCGCGGTCCGCCATAGCTTGTGAGAATTACCCCAGTCAATGACAGGCGAGAGTGCGATCGAGCTCATTAGCCTACTGATACTGTAGCACGCGACACGAACAGTCTGCAAGCGTAGCAGAGTGGCAGCGTGGCCAGGAACACGTAACGAACATTAAACTATGAAACATTAACAATAACACAGTATTATTGTATAACGCGCGCTGTTATATGGCAGTCTCCTTGTGTTCGGCCGCGTAGTGCTGCAGCTCGTCGTACGGCGGCGGCCGCTCCTCCGCCGCGTCCAGCTCCAGGTCCAGGTCGCTCTCTGCAACACACGCGCCGGTATGCTGTAGTACGTATGTTCCACACAGGGTCTGTATGTATGACAGCGGGTGGGGTTGGGTTCGGTCTGACCTGAGAATGCGCCGGACTCGGGGCGCAGCGGCGGCGCGAGGATGTCTCCGTCGCTGGCGTGGCGGGCGCGCAGTGCGCACGCGCGCAGCTCGTGCACGGCGCCGCGCTCGGCCAGGTAGCACGCGCCGCCCTCGTAGCCCACCGGCTCTACGCGCACACACACAAGCAAGCGCTGCACTCACACCATCACACTCCACACGCTAAGCGATGCATCATGCCGTGCTCCAGCGTACAGCGCCAGAGTAAGCATGCGCAGCCTACGTCCAGCAGTGGACTGACATACAGGCAGTTGATCATGACGACTCAAAAGTCTAAACTGGCAACCAAATATCTCGTACTGTTGAGTTACTCAATAACAGAACCTCAAAGCAGAATAGATGCAATGTTTGAAGGGCCCCAAGTGGCCCAGGAATGATCACCATGATATATACCTCTATTATAAATATATATAAATTAATCCCTTTTTCCCTTGGTCACGGCATCACGCGTGAATGGCTGGACCGATTTTACTAAATATTTTTTTGTTGTATTTGTTATTATTAGGAGGAGGTTCTTAAGACAGAAAAACATCCTGACAATCCTACGGGAACGGGAGAAAACAGGATTGCGCGTACGAAGTCGCGGGCAGAAGCTAGTTTAAAATATTTTCATTATGTACTAGCTCCTGGCTCTTGACAGTCTGCCACGCGGGTACAGCTGCATGAGTAGCAAGGTGTGGAGGTAACTGACCGACAGAGGGCGGCGGGAACACGTGGCGGCCGAGGCTGAGGCGCGACTCGATGGTGTGGTGCGTGGCGCCCGAGCGGTCCAGCGGCTGCAGGCGGTCCAGCTGCTCGATGACGTCATCCAGGCAGCCGCGGCTGCGCAGCGACTCGTTGAAGTTCTGCTTGTCGTCCTTGGCCTGGTACACGGCGGCGGCGCGCTGCAGCTCCGCCTCGTCGTGCTCGCGCTCGCCGATATAGAAGGAGCTGAGCTCGGTGGCGTCCGTGTCCTTGTCGTCGGTGTCGGCGCTCTCCTTGCGGCGGCGCGAGCACTTGATGTTGGAGTGGTGCTTCTTGCAGGGCCGCGCCTCGGGAGCGGGCTCGTCGCGTGAGCTGTCGCTGGAGTGAGGCTCGGGCTCGGGCTCGGGCCGCAGCGGGATGTAGAGGTCCTTGGTGGAGCGCTCCCAGTCGCGGCGGTGCAGCACCTCGTCGATGACGCTGGGCGCGGAGTGGTAGCGCGCCTCCACCTCGCCCGCCTCGTGGCTCGACAGCTTGCGCCGACCTCCGATCTCCTCGTGGCTGCGATGAGCTGACAGCGGCTTTTTGTAGCCTTAAAATGATAGAAATATATCGGTTATGAGTACTTATGAGTGTACCAAGTCAGTATACCTACTGGCTACTCCATACGTATTTATAAGCCGTGACCTCATTACGAGAAAAGCTTTGTCTTCGAAATTGGCTCGCTTGCAGGCAGTCTCACTGTGGGTCAAGGCATTGGTTTCCATTTCGTCCTCGATACGAATAGATCTATTGTTCCCTGTTTTACGCTACGTAGTACCACTACTGAGCTAAAATATCTATTAATTTACCTGAGACCGGGTCGATTTCAAAATCTATAATTTAACATTCATAAAACGGAATGGAATTTAGTTTATTACCCGTTGTAGGGTATGTGTAGGGAGAGTAGTACTGTACCGGAGGTGCTGGGCAGGTGGAGCGACACGGCGCTGGAGGTGGCGCGGCGCCCGAACATCTCGCTGGAGCGGCGCCGCCAGCCCGACTCTGTGCCAACAGTACTGCATGGTCACTCACTGCACTCAAACACTCACACACTCACTCGGGGCGGCACTCACCGGGGGCGGCGGCCAGCACCGGGCGCTGCGGGTGTCGGCCGGTCGAGCTCTCTGTGGACAGACTCAGCGTTAGCACCGACGTTAACACCGACGCCAGACTCCGGGAGAGTCGGCCGGTACCTGAGTTGGTGTCGTCGGGCCAGCAGCACAGCCAGCACAGCAGTAGCAGCGGCGCGCACAGCTCCACCGCCAACACACCGCCCGCCGCCGCGCCCCCGCCCGCGCCCCCGCCCGCGCCCGCGCCCCCGCTCCCCATGCTTGCTGCAACCATTACTTTGTAATATTACGACCAGACCAAGTCAAATTTATCCACCGACTTCTGGTCCCACATTCACAAACTATGTATACTTCGACGCACTGCTACTATAGTATCTTCACTGCGTCGTCGAACTTTCCACTTCCATCTTCCATAGGATTTTGTAGAATACAGACTTTACCACAAAACTATTTACAATCACGTCCGGACTCTTAGAGACTTGGTGCGGTGATGTCGAGTTGCGAGGTCGCACAACAGGTATTGATACTGTATGCTAGCGTCGTGTTGTGAAAGTCACTCACCTGATGAGAACCTAACTCCGGCCGCTACTGGGAGCTGCAGCCGGCGACGTGTCTCATATTGTGTGACACTGCGCCTCGGCCCTCGGCTGACTGGCAGACTGTCAGACTGTCACTGTGTATCAGTAGGTACAGTATGTAGTGTTCTGGCGATGCGACCCTCACTCTCGCCGCGGAGAGAGTGAGGCGCCATCGAGCGCAGCCTCCGAGCGACAACACCGCGACACACAGCGCATACTCCGCGCGCTAACATATCTGTCCGTTACTAAACTATTGAATTCATTTTAATTAATTGGTGCTGTAACAGGCGTTATCATAGATCTTGGGAAAAGAAATTATATTGAGGCTATGATTTTGAGCTCTTCAAAGCGGTCTTTTTGCCCTATAATAATGTCAACTACATTATGTACATAACCCGTGACAGTTATCGCATCGTACGCAGGGGACGAGCTCTCTAGAACATTGTAACAGTGACTACGATACTAGCAGTGTTGTTGTGTCGCGCGGTCTGTGTGTCGCGGGCGGCCGTGTGGCGCCGGAGTGGCGGCGCGCATCGATCCTATACTCCTCTATCACACACACACACACACACACACAGTGGCCTCACTACATACACATTATTAGCCATTACTACTCCTGCAATACATTTACTTTTGTTACGATACAAATAAAAAATAAATGCCATTACAACCGTGAGATATCATTCCAATACTGTCGAACAACCCGAGGTGCTCGAGAGAGGACGCCTGTGCGTGACACTGACACTGGGACCATTCACTGGCGACCGATAGGCTCGCTGCCACACCAGTTGGGAAGTCGTACCTATTTGCCTAAACTGTATTATTTACTATAGCTTTCGCAAGCACCTTCACCTATGTTAAAGTTAATATGGCTCCTTTGTGTCCTTTCAGACTATAAAAAAAATATTTTATCTAAATCTGTTCATCACTTTTTGCGTGCAAAAGCAACATCCAAACATCCATCCACGTATTCACGAACTTTCGCATTTATAAGGAGGGGTCGAACTCGTAGCGTAGGTCTCGTAGCTCGTAGCCGGCGTAGCAAACGTAGCAGAGCACGGCGTAGCAATGTAGCAAGCCACATTGGCTACGAAAGCTATTTCTCGCTACAAAGTTTTGGTCCTACGAGCCGTGCTACGAGTCCTACAAGACTTCTATCAGTGGGTGGGTACCACTAAAAATTAAATAATAACTAATATTAATGAGAATTAATATTAGTTATTATTTAATTTTTAGTTTCTATCGTAAATTTAACTTATTTTAGATTTGGTTTTTTAATTAAGCGTGAGTAACAGATCGAAATGTTGCCAAGTTCCGCTGACATGTTGGCCCGGAGCGCCGCTGGTGTCGCCGCGGGTATCGAGTTCAAGGCGGCAGTTTGGGGATGACGTCACGCCGCAATTGATAACTGCGCTCTATCCTTGGTGGATTTGTCAATAATACATAAGTACCTGGTCATTTCATGCCACTCATATATAGTCAGGGAGAGGGGCCCCCTAATTGGAGCACCCCCTCCCTTGTGTATTGGAGCTGCATGCAAGTAATAGAACTCCGTTGATTATGCTCTGTGGTCGCAGTTGTCAATGTCACATTGGGTAGTTTGGAAACAAATTGTTTAAGTACATAGTTTGTTCAGGCGGCCCAAATATTACACACATATTCTGTCGATGTGAATAGCTGGTAGTCGTGCTGGTGGCTGGTGGCTGGTGGCTGGTGGCTGGTGGCCCGCTCCCCGATGGCCGTAGTTCGCAACCAGGTGTCATCTAATGATGGTCAGCAGCAGTCGACCGGCGGACCGGACAGGCGGCGCTCTACAGACACGTATGTACATGTACTGTGCCATGCACTCAGTACAGCCGACATTGCGTGCCACAGGTTTTTATTTACAAGTCGAGCAACATTTATCTTGACCTGACATAATAAACATTGGACATCAACATAACTTGCCCCTCTGCCTATACGAGTGGGGAATACAAGGCGTGATGTTGCGTAATGTTTATATACAGTGGTGACCTTGCATTATAATGTACTGTCTCGGGGACTGTCCCCCTCCCAGACTCTCCCTCGACATCGAGTGCGGCGCGTACTTCGGCTCGACGGCTCGAGTATGTTGTATCTACAAGTACTGCGTGGCGGACACGCAGTCGCAGCGACAATTATATTCTCCGAAGTTTTTGATCATTGTCATCAATTCAATCTGACAAA